TTTTGATAGAACAGTTTAATGTCCTGGTCAGTGGATATCAGGCCCTCGTAGAGCACAATTGAGTATTTTGGTCTAAATAACCCAAAATGTGATGTCCACATATGTGGCGCCAGCTCCTAGGAGGTTAAGGACCTTGATCTTAATTGACCACTAAACTCGCCTGACCTTAAGCCCATAGTGAAGAGGAAGATGTAATATGGCGGATCGAACAATGAAGAAGAGCTGAAGGCCACTATCAGATCATCCTGGGCTCTCATCACACTGGAGCAGAGCCCAGGATGATCGAATCCATGCCACGCTGCAGTAAGTCAGGCCAAAGGAGCCCAACTAAGAGTCTTTGCAGACTACTAAGGATCAGACATCCTATCATGATTATATGTTTCTAAGCATAAATGACAATCCAAAGCTAGAACCCCAACATCGTTTTCATTAGTTGTCAGTTACAATCATCAGAATCAAAAGACATAAACAGTCTGTATGGATTGAATGTAAACATTATACAATTTTCCCTTTTTGAATGGAATCGGTGACATACATCAACTTTCTGCTGATATTCTAATTCTATGACCAGCACCTGTATTCGGCAGCAATAAGCTGCACGTTGTTTCCACTGCACCAGGCCGTCTGCCTCCCGTAAGCACCAGTTGATGTACTGGTTTAAAGTTTATTAGCGTAAATGCATTGGTCAAAAACATTAAAGGAAACTGGGCCGCGGTTAAGGCTTCCTGTGCCCATCATCCATCCAAGCCCTGGATGTTTCAGGATAGTGTCATCCCTCCATTGTCTGCCGTTTTGCTTTGTGCCCCACACGCTGTGAAATTGCTGCCACAGGAAAGAGTCCGACAACAAATACTGAAGAATGACAAGAATTTTATCACAGGTATTGCCAGGTCATCTGTGAGCTCACTGTGGTGTGGTCATCTTTGTCTGATTGTCTGCCAATCCAAATAAATGAACACGAGTCGAGAAACGTTTTATATTTCTCTACTGTGCAATATGTGTGTATATATATATA